AATGCTCAAGTTTTTAGCATATAAACGAATTAATCGTTTGTTTTTTGAGTAGAAAAATAATTTTGTAACTTAAACCAATTGGTTCGTTATACTGAGTTCCGAATGTATACTCATAACTCAATATAACGAACCTCAATAAACGAAGAATATATATTTAAGATAATACTAAGTATATAAATTTCCAATGCATTCCATCTAATGCAAGATGAAAAAGTGAACTCGACTCGTGTGTTGAATTAGGTAATGAAGGTTATACGCATTTGTGACTTAAAAAACCTTTTTACACATATTTCATAACTGTTTTTACATATGTTTAATGCTAATTCATAATGTAGTACAAAATTGATGTCGTATATTGTTGTTATGCGATTTGATTATGTAGTTAATACCAATATTAGTGTTATTTATCGCTTTCAAGTGATATGTTCCGACATGCGGGTGATGACGTCCACATACGAGTATAATATCACTTAGGATATGGAGCTTCATCACTCATACTAATTGAACATTTTAGCAGCTTTCTTTTTAGACCGGGTATAGTAAAAATCGTAGATAGAAAACAATGGTCGCGCATTTTTAAACGGAAAGAAAAACAAATGATAATCCAATTTTATAAAAATGCTCCCAACGACAAGATCTATCCATAGCTTACCTTTATTATGATTTGTCGGCGGCGATTGGCTATTTTGATTATTATGTAAGATTTTTTTTTTTATATTTATTTTTAGTTAGACATAGAATTATGTTAACTACAAATAGTTAGTTACTAGTTTTTTAAAAGTTATTATAATGTGATTGGAAATATATTTAAATCATCCTTATTTCAATTCAATTCTATTTATTTATTGCATTTTACAATATTATTATATAAGATGAAGAGATATAATATTAATTTGAAAATTGGGTACACAGATAGGCCATCTCAGAGCAACTAATAAGCTACTTTTTATCCCAATTGAAACAGACATAGTTGCAGCTTATATTACAAGTAGTATTACATATATATATTATATATTATATATATATATATATATTAAAAAAAAAGGAATAAAAAATAAGCTGCAACTATGTCTGTTTCAATTGGGATAAAAAGTCACATTTGTAATAAATTAATATTATATCTCTTCATCTTATATAATAATATTGTAAAATGCAATAAATAAATAGAATTGAATATATATATATATATATATATTTTTTTTTTTTTAATTATCCTCTTATTCTGAGCAGTACCTTATAATTTCAGTGTCGCCCACACAGTTAAATGCTGTTAAAGTATAAATTCGAAATACAAAATATTGCAATTGGCCACATATCTTTTTATGAGTATATTCGTGTTGGCAACACGAAAATATCGTAATATTCCGTGGGTGGTGACGTCTCCGGCAGGCACCGATGCGCCATAATTCACATTGCCATCAGATAACCTGCTACGACTGTTTTCTTCAAGTATTGATTATCTAGTGGTTGCCACTTTTGCTGCGAGGCACGGGCTGCTTTCAACTTTCCGAGAATTATCACTTCGTTGATAGTTCGGAACGAATAAATATGCGAATCTTTTATTAAAAAGGAAGTTTATAATATGCTTGAATTTTGGTATATTATGCGATAGCTTTAGAAAATTCTAAGGCAATTTTTATAATTCTGTGTCTATAGATCAAAATTACCAATTTCCATCAGATAGGTTATCAGTTTTATTGCCGTTACAAGTTACATAAAAAAATTTTACAATCGACATTTACTGTTTTGTGTGATTATATTGATTTTGTCACAACATTTATAGCTTTTTTATTATGAATTATAATAATAAATAAACAAATTCATTTTCACGTTTATAACACAAAGATTAATGATTATAGTCCAATCAGTTATAGGTTTTGTATTTTACTGTTAACCTCCTGTTTTTCTCTAAACGGACGACAGTTTATCCATCATAGCTGCAAATAGTAAAAGGGTACAATAATTGCTCAAATATCACGCGATGTTCAAGTTTTATGATGGCTTCGTCGTATCTATAATTATATGTTTTTTGTTGGTCAAAGACTAAAGGTTACTTAGAAGACAAGGGACCTTGCAGTCTTCTTAAACGTGCATGATTTGAAAATATGATGTTATTGAACATATCATCATCATCATATCAGCTGTTTAACTGTCCACTGCTGGACTCCTCCCCCATATTGGGGGGGGGGGGCTTGGCAGAGTTGCCGCCCTTGGCAAGCGGGTTGGTAAACGCAGTAAGGTTTTGGTGATGTTTTAAAATGGACGCTGCTATCCCATGCCCATCCCTTGAATATAGCTCCCCTAGTCGCCTTTTACGATACCCACGGGAAAAGATGAGGTAACATATGTAAATGAACTTTCAATAAATTTATATTTATATTAAATTAATGCTTATTCACATTCGACTGTAGTCCCCGTCACACAAGTCTCAGAGGTATTTGTGAACTTGTGACGAACGTAGATCCAAAGTAGAGCGTATTACAGTTCAACATTACAGGGAGCGAACCCATCGCTGTGTCACGGTTTAATTTTGTTTAGTAATTGTGTTTAAGCATATTATTTCGAATCAATAATAATTAAGGTTTCGAATCAATAGCGACCGAAGTCAGAAACCACAACACTCTGTTTTAGATAGTTAAACATAATACTGAAGTTGAAATTAATTCTATTAGACCGTATAATATAATAACACACTAGTGTACTCATAAACATGATTGATGCTAATCTACTCACTGTATAACGATACACCACACCCTGACATACCATGTCATGCTACAATTTCAACTTGTATACTAATAGCTTGGTATCCAATGACATTCAAAGCAAGAGTAATATTGCTTACTTTTTATTATACAAATTTCTATTTCAAGCTATGATCGCTACTACTATTAAATCTTTCGTCAAAGCTTCCAAAATGACCGAAAATCGCCTCACTTGCACAGTGCATTTTTATTTTGAAGTATACTTTATTTTGATACTAACAAAATGGTGTTTTGTAATTTTTAATACAGACAATTTTAAATTTGTGGAGATTCTCAATTTGCCTATTTTATTTGAGTATACGTTATGTGATATCTTCGCCAATTTTTTTTTTGCATCAATTGAGTTAACTCTCGTGAATTAGAACACAGGAGTGACAAAATTCATATGGATATAATCTTAGTTCTAAATTCATTTTACCACGATGGAAGTGATTTTTTTTTTTTTTGCGGAGCAAAATTTTATTATTTCCGTAGTTACAGTTATTTGTTAAGGAGGTCAGTTTAAAAGCCATGAAACCTAAGTCAGTTATAAAATTGATGTAATCACGAGACAACAGCAGGACGGTTTTAAAGAAGTTTTATAATCGAATAAATAATTAGCTCCTTAGAATTTGTATATACTTAAGTTGGGCTCAACTTTAAAAATCAATTTGAATTAAGAGATATAGCTGATATAGGTCTTTATTAATTGGATAATCATAATCACTTCGCTACCATGCAATAAAATTGCTATGATTTTTCTCGTGAGTTGCGTTATTCATTTAATGTATTTAGAAATTATTATTAGTTATTATTATTACTATGTATACATTTCTATTATAATATATTCTTTACTCTTTATTGCACACAAACATAATGTTAATAACAATTAATTTTAAACGTAATGTACAAAGGCGATCTTATCTCTAATAAGAGATTTCTTCCAGTAAACCTTTTCATGTGAATTAAATTTAGTTAGATTTCTTTCACTGTCGCTACTTGACTTAAGGTCAAGCATACGGTAAACATACAGTCATTAGTGAAAGTTTAGAGTGATAAGTGTTTTTGAAGTTCATCGATTACATATAAGTACGGCTTACATAAATCCACTTATCTTCACACCGGACCCCCTACGGTTTGCAAAGAGAACCAAAGGCTTCTCTTAAACACATTTGATTCATAAATTTTAATAATTTATTTCATATATATTTTAAATAATGCGATAGGAACTTTTTAAAACGTCGCCAATAAAAAAGCAAGTATGTAGATACTATTTACTTGCAAAAAAAATCTTATACTCTATTCTAAATACACCATCAGGACTTATCCCCATAGTGTATTTAAAATATATGTAAACAACACGAATGTTTACAATTAAATATTTCATACACGCTGGTTTCAGACTTCTTATACTTAAAAATTTTTCTTGATAAAAATAGACAATATCAATTTTCGTATTAAATCATTATCGCAAATTTATATAGAAATATTAATAGAATATAAAAATTATATCCTAATAATTATTAGGATAAAATTTTGAGGAGAAGTGACGCGCTAACGACCATTTAATTTTAAACACAGTACATTTAAATAAATACACATAATGTTAACAGAGATTTTAAAAAGGAACTGATGAGTTTATTGCGGGCTTTTCTCAACAGATAACAATTTATCGAATCCTGCAGTAGATTTAAAAAATAACGATTTAAAAGTGTTTGTAAACAAGTCCATTTGAATAAAGGTCATTTCAATTTGAAATTTTTATATTAATATAATTACTTCATGTCATACGAAACATAACAATATATGAAATACGTAGTAGATTTTCATGGATAATTTGTGTTGGACGTTTGGTAATAGCTTGCAACCGATGAAGTTAGTTTATTGCTTCGTTTCGCATAACAAGTGTAAATGCAATTATTCGAAACTGGAGCATAACGCTGTGCAAATGTCCACTGATGGACAAGTACAGTAATGTCGTCCGTTACAGGCTACCACGTTATTATATTAAATTAATGTGTTACCTGACAAAACTACTTGATTATTAATTTACTAGAACTTAATTAACAATAATTGATAACCCCGTCTAAATCTGTCTCTCAAATTAAAATATTAAATTGATAGTTTAGCGGATGTATTTAGAATTTAAGGCTTAAAAGTAATTCTAACTTATTAGTTAGAATTACTTTTAGGTCTTAAATTCTAAATACATCCGCATACTGCTATTGCAATATAAAAATTGTAATAAATTTGCTTCCTGCTAGTGAAGATTTCGATATACTATAATATCGAATTGAAAATATAGTTTTAAAGATATAGAATGATTGTTCAGAATTAGCTCCATTATTTGATCTTATATACATAATCAAACAAAACAAAACGGAGAGTAATATATGTTAATTTATGTCAGCACCTTAAGGGATCGGCGGATAGCATAGGGGGCAATGTTCTGTAATCCTAAATATGCCATTTTTATTTTTTATTTATTAGATTATACACTGACTAAAAGTAATCCAAGTCTTAACTAGAGAGAGACTTTGTACAAAAGTAATATGCATGCGTCTCACTTGTGCTTGTATTGTCAACTAGTTTGTATTGCTGCGTTTCGGTTTCAAAAGTGAGATATGGCAGTAAAATAACTAGGTTTGGAAGCATATTACTTAATATCGTCAGATATTCTGGGATATTCATAGTTTTTTGTCTATAGTCAATCAAGTACCTAATAGTAAAAATTCCGTGATGTCAATCGTTTCCTCTTCTCAACAAATTTCACGATAAATATATTCATATACATATAATATAAAATTAGAATCTTGATAAGAGTAGAGAAATATATGTATCTATTACCCTCAAGTCCGGTATGCTGTTGCATCGTACGTATGTAGGCACCGTCGTGCCATCTTTATATCTCCTGTTTAATCATGTTAAACATTAGCCGGCAAACTGTGCGAACAGCGAACAGTTGTCGTTACCTCGCTCTGAATAATTCATTCAGTGCATTATTTAACATCTCCACGCTGCGTTAAAATCTCATCAACAACACCTAGATACAGATTGCACGCCAACTGTGAACGTTGTGGGGTTCCTAGACAGAAAGCATTCAACGCCTGTTACCTTTTTGTTTCGTGACGAAATAATCATTTGCAATTGTGTCAATATTTACTCGTGTTAATGACGCATGAAACTGTATTGCATCTATATTATTGTGCAACGGGCCTGTTGTCTGCATGTTTAACTCTTTTCTCACACCTGCTGCAAAAAATGTGCACACTGTAAAACTTTAAAAACAATTCTCACACTTGTACCTCATGTTACGCAAACGAGCATAACGTGACGATTCTAATTCCACAAAAGATGCGCCGCTTCTGTTGTTCTGTTCTCATTAAATTTCTGTTCTAAATTACACAATACTTAATTGATATACTGTCGGTGATATAATCCGATCATACTTATCCATATTATGGTTCTTTGTTAACACAACACAAAATGGGAATAATTTTGATTAATAACTATTCAGCCTACATCAATTCGATCTGTCATCGCTATTACATTTAAACTAATCAAACTTTGTAAATAATTACATTACGTCACCGCTTATAGTCAGTCAATCATTCTACTATGAAATTAATATAGATCCAAATAAATTTGTCTTACTAATCGTAAGAATGTTACAGAATCATATGATTACTTCCTCGACTAGTTATTATACTGTCATTGTCGATGATCGAAAAGGTATAGTTGCTTCTAATTATCAGAGGCAATGATTATGCTTTTATTTGTTAATAGTGATATAATTACTAAGTAAACTTGCATAATGTAGGTGATCGATTTTCTTTGTAATATTTAGTGAACTTTAATGACGCTAAAAAGTGATACAAGAAATTGTTAAAGACGGTTTACGTCAAAGTATGAAGGTAATAGGGAGGTTCGCCAATAACAACGTAAATTGTTAAAGAATACGTATAAAAGTTCACGTACCGTTTGATTTCATTTTAGGAAGAGCACTTTATCCGAAATTGACTATTTTAATGTTATTTGATGTTATTAAATTAGATGACACTAATAGTCAATGGGAATATAACATGCTAAAGCTGTGGGTACTGAAAATAATGTGACATGTGTAATTTTTTAGTGTTATTTGCTAATCCTAGAATATACAATTATATACTTTTTAATTTAGGAAATAAAAAATCCTAATCCTAAATCCTCCATGCTCCACGCTTTGCTTACTGCAGTACAATGATTTGATAATTTATTTCAGTAGAGAAAAATTAATAAATATGAATCTTGCAATGTCTACTTTATATATCTTAAGTACAAATATCTTTACATAAACAGTTTACACCCTCGAGGTAAAGCACCCGTGTGTTTCATTTTATTAGCTCGTTTCCTGTTTTTATTCAAAGAGCCCGCGGTCTGGTCTGGCACTCGTTAATAAACAATGTTGTGCATCAAAGTCATAATTCTGAGGATCGTTTAATTTTGTCCCATTACAAACTATAAGGATAGTAAAAGTAGCTAAACAACGCTTTAAACGTCCTCGCAGGAACTTTGCTACATTATGGATGATGTCGGCGAGCGTGAAGTGTGAATGTTGAATCGTGATGTGTTATTTAAATCTATTGACTTCCTTGGTATTATTCATTTTGCATATTATGTGTACCTTGAATATAATAATAATAAACTATCAATAACGATTATATCATCACTAACCCCTAATACAAGCTCTTAGTTTTACATAATTTTTTTATCTATAGTAAGATATATACAAAAAATAAAAATGTTACAATTGATAATAACTATATCGGCAATACGAGTAATTTATCCATAATGTTATTAACATTTATAGGGACAACAGTAGCATAAATATCATAAAAGTTTACTATTACATTAACTATGAGTTTATAGGATTTTGTTTCGAATTTTCCTTCTCGCACTAATAGGACTTTGTGTAAAAACCATACTTGTTTTAAAATATTTGTATTACGAAACTCTCACGGTAAGCAATAGCTTCGTGACGATAGGATGTTCGCAGTTTTGCATCACAAATAAACTCGTCGTGCGTCGTGTGCATCGCCACATCGTTAGGTACGTGGGGTCACTCGCCCGCCGTTTGTGTACAGCATTGTCAATTCTGCTCATTGACTCCATTAGAATGGTAATGGTGTCGGTGCACACTGCCATGCGATGTGATTGATACACTGCGGTTTGATTGAATTCCTATCGTGCCTAGACCATTCTACTGCACACTTAGCGGGATTTAAATTATTTTACAAAATTATATCTCGCGAACGTGCGCGCAGTCATGCAACACTCCTTTCTAAGATGCGAATAAACCAAGCGCCTTGTTTTAAAATGCTCGTCACGCATCATTTAAGTGGGTTGGTGGAATCCGTTTATATATGCACGGTCCGAGTTATATGCACCAAATGTGTCAGTATGTAATTACAACTTATTCTAATTAACATTCCGAATCCAAAAGAAATATGAGCAAATAAAACCATACTTATGCAATTCATTTTTGTACCATCGTTACGAAATATGGTTTTGGAATTTATAATCATCAAATAGAGCAAATTAACACATAACCATCTTCGATTTGCTTTTTTATTTTATTTATATTATGAGTTATGTATATGCCGTTCGGATTGCTTTTCAATAGCAACACAATATATGTTTTATACATATGTACATTATTGAAAATATTCTTTTGAGAAATCAAATCAAGAGTATCCGGAATTAAGCAAGCATGAGATACTTCGATCAATGTAATAATACAATCGTATAAAAACATATCATTACTCAAGGCATAAGTAAATGGTGTTTTGTGGTTCCTTTTTATCCCTAAGGGAAAATACATGAATAAAGAGTAACAGAAACTATTTGTAATATTAAATAGTACCATAAGGTGGTGTATGGTGAATATCCTTAAACTTCATGCATCTTTCTCTGATCTTTCTGCATCTTTGCTTTACACAAGTGTGCTGTAATTCTTTGTAGCATAGTATTCTTTATATAGCGCGTCTTGGAATAATTTCACGATGACAAGATGATGTTGCTCGCATTTAAAGTTTACTGTGTCACTTAAACTAGCTGTGTATGGCCAAGCCCATATCATAAATTTTTTTGTGGTATGAAAAATATTCTATACTGTGTATATTTTAAAATATGCTGCTTGTAACTGTCGAAGGTACTCTGTCGAGTCTCAAATATTTATGAGTACAAATTAGTTGTTTGTCAGAAGTTTATCAAAGTTACTCGGCTGCATCGTTGGCCTTCCACCCGTCACGTAGAAAACACAAACGCGTGCTAGAGCCTTAAGTTAAGGCATTTGAGTATCTATCCTAGCATTCGGAAATTTCGAAACGTGTCTTTATGACTAGCTATTGTTAACGAATTCATTACTGACAATTAAAATTATTCTCAAAGGTTAAGTAGACAAGATGTGCAAAAGTGAAGTATAATGTGCAGCTTTCAAAATAACGCTAGGCAACTATTATAGTAAATTGTATTTTAGGGTTATGTAGTCAAAGGTCCAATATTCTTAATTCTAAATAAATTGTTTGAGATCCTTTAATAATTATTGTATTTTTTTAACTCCATGACTTCTTTCTCAATTACATCAGATAATTTACTAAAGTGACGTGATCGATTTTCTATTTATAAATTTGACGCCGCGCTATAGCGGTTGTCATAATAAGTTAATAATAAAATTGATTAACATTGTGTTCTACAATATGGTAAAATCCACTTCAATTGCGGCATAACCAGTTATTTTGATTTAAAGACTAAATTACTGAACTGATTTTTACAAAATTCCGTTGAAAAACTAAGAATAATCTAAAATTACATAAAATAAAGTCAGAATAAGGTGATTAGAATCTTTGAAGCAGACTACCCATTAAAGTTTCAATTATCTTTCTTTAATTAAAATTTTAAAGTATTAAATTCGTAATCGTCTTATATATTCACTAGTATAGTTATTTAGTGATCATATCGTCATAGTCGTAGAATGCTGACGGATCTGTTAAATATTAAATATACATATCCGTCAGTATTCTATTATGATTATGACGATATTTACATAGTAAGGAACCCTAACTAGGAGAAGTTGATTGTGGCTTGACTGATTCTTTTTTTCCATCGACCGGTCGGACGGCATTCATTGACATTTACAATATGTTAACAAACTGGACGAGTCACCTCTGCCTGAGCGAAAAGAAAGTAGCCATCGGGCGCCACGGCGTGTCAATAAAAATCGTGTTTTACGTACCTTTGATTAGATTTTATATTTTGTTTTCTATTACCATTAAAATACGGTACTAATTTCTAAAGATACCATATCAGGGATTTTGTTTGCAGAAGTAATAGAGCAATTAATTGCGCGATAAAATTGTATGTATTCGTTTGTGTTATTTAAGTACGAAGAAAATAAAAGTATTTTGCAATTGCTACTGGTGAGGTTTACCACTATGTTGAAAACAATATTCCCAATTAAATATAATTTTAATTAATGTAATGAAATACTAAAAAACTTTTACTGTTGGATATACCAGTTGAATAGAGAAAACTTCCCTCGTTAAAAATAGTCACAATCAATATACAAGCAAATTGATTTTGAAATTAATTTTTATTTCATATTATTCAATTCAATTTTCGTCAATTATAGTCAACATAAAATCGGAAATCTAGATTCCGGCTAGACTTTCGAAAGAAGAAGAATACAAACTACGCTCGGGTTGTTCACCCGCTTGCCTCACCTACTGGTATTGATTATTTCCGCGACCAGTATCTTAACTCCCAAACAGGTTTCCAAATACATAATTGGCATTTTGCAAATAATAATTGTTTATAATACTCGTCTATTTGTAATCTGTAAGTTAAAATTGTAATAAAATCAAGAGAATCTCTTTCTTTCCTTAACATACATGCACAAATTTTATAGTTTTGCATTATCATTATCTTCTTAATAGAGTATTAAAAGTAATTGTGACAAATCATATATTATTTTTATAACATCCTTATTGATTATAAATATCATTATTTAATTTGTTATTTTACATAGCTCATTCCTTGTAATATACATATTATTAAATTTAAATGACAATACCATTATATTTTCTCCTTTGCTAATTTATTATAACTAAATTTGTTATACAAGATTATTATTATTATTTTGTTAACGACCAACTGACATGTCAATTTGTTGATAAGAAAAAATATGTATAGACTTCGGTTTCTTTTATTCTACTAAAAATAGCAAGAAAGTTGATGTTTCAGCTTCCTCTGTTATTTTGCTATCTAAAACGTCATTGGATGCCTTGTGAATATAAATCTTATCTGTACGGTTACCTCTTTGTTTATTTTCTTCTGTGAATTTATAGAATCTGTGTTTTATCATTTTAATCATTATTACCGCGCTTTATAGAAATTCCTAGAATACTTTAACAAAAGCTGTATTGTCAATACATGAATATATTCTCTACCTCAGTATCAGAGTATATTGTAACAATCTCCACGTGCGAGGTATCTGACAGTTTAATACCACAAAGGACGTACGTAGTAAGGTACGTTCGGGGTTATCTAAAAATCAGCACATTAGAAATTTTACATTTTATTTGCTATTATTTTCATTATGAAGGTAACTTTAGTCGTTAGATATTGTATTAAACCATTTTTTATACTACAAAGTAGGCTTATAATCATTTATTATATATTACAAAACCTTGAAGGTATTTTATCATAGCATTTCTGAAGAATCTAATACTGCCAAATAACTTTTGTATTTATTAAAATTCACAATTACCGACCAACTAAGGAAAATATAACCTCAGAATATATATGCTTTCATAACAACTTTTACGGCGTCATTGAACTTTAATTTGGGGAGACATTTCTCTTAGAGATGCTATTGTACGGTCGCTTGAAATTACAATACAGTTTGCATGTCACGCTTCAGTGGCGACTGATGCTGCGAGTGAAAACACCAAATATATCTGTCTGTAGATTGACACACTGCAACCGACATACTGTTCTACATACATACGACAGAATTATGCGAATTTATACAAAATTATGCATTTCGTTATACGAACATATTTACTACTAGTTTCTCTTAATCGTATTAATAATGCCTTAACATGTTTATCAGTGACAATTTCCACTGAAATATAATATAATAAATCATCAATATAATACTTAACTGTACACTGCTGAACAAAGGACTCCCCCTTGGGGGATTTTGTTAGTAGTTGCCGCGCTTGGCAGGCGAATTGGCAACCGTAGTTAGATTTTGGCGATGTTTTAAGAGGAACGCTGTTGCCCATCTCTTGACTAATAAATTTCCTCAGTCGCCTTTTACGGCATTCTCGGGAATTGAAGGGGTTGCCAATTCTATGCCGACGCCACACGATCTTTATAATAAACAATTATATTGAAACTGTCAATAGTACCATTTATATATAAATTAAATATAAGATATTATTTAAATATAATTTATAATCCAGTTATACCAGGAATTGGAATACCATATTTATTTGATAATTATATTATCATCATTTATCTTAATATCTCCTACAAAGGCAATAGATGCTTTTGGATAAAATTCCCTATTTGGAATCAGTTTTTTTTTTATGTTTTTTTTTTTTTAAGAATTAATTGTTCCTTTGTACTACGGTTAGTGAACAATAAGCAAAGTGCAATAAACTATAGTCGTACACATGTATACGTAAATGGTATTTGGAGGCATGTCTAGTCTTCGCGAAACGTGACGTGAGCCGGCCTTGGCGGTCGGTCTACGTTCGGTCTACGTCGCCGTCAGTCGGACTGTGTCACTCTCTCTGTCACTCTCAATGTTGGTACTGTTCCATCCGTCTCGAATTTTCACATACAACGTTCTAGGAAACTGACTCAGCTGTGTTTTAATGACACTGTTAGCTATATGAATTTGAACTTTATTTCAAAACGTGTAGAGTAGCATTCTGGCGTGTGATAAATGTGCCGGTTTACGGACTTGTGACTCCAAACGTCAATTTATAGTTCTTTCTCTTTTTTTCCCAGTCCCGCACAGCTGCCTTCAGTCAGTATTGTAAAAGCGTTCAACAGATACAGACCGTCACGTGAATTTATCTCGCTACTAAGCCCGTTGTCGAATCTCGAATAGTCGGTTTCATTGATTGGACACAACAACTATCAATTTATAAGAAATTGAGGATACATATAATTGGATTGGTTTATCACAAAGTGTTAAACGAGTTTAATATTAACGGTAAATCTGTCGTTTAATTTGCCTTGTGTAGTTTAATTTCATTGGCATTGTTTTCAAAACATTAAATTCTGTTGTCATGTCGCCTGAAGAAACTATGGTGTGACTGTATCGATATGTAGAGTAGGGAGCGGTACCAACAGAGTGTGTGCGTGTGTCGGATACGGCCCAGTGAACCGCCGGGCCCCTATCGTGTGACCCTAGTGTACAGCTGCAGCTCAAAGCATAATATCAAGAGAGACGGTGACTGATGGAGGATTGTGTGGTGGAACGCCAGAAAGGGCGTCATGCAGGAATTCGTGGTTGGCCCTAGTTTCCCCAAATACCGGCAAAACGGCGGCGACGGAGGCTGCGACGGTACTTGCACCACAGGTTTGCTTTCCACATCCGATTTATGAATACACTTACTATGTGGTTATTACGCTATCGAAATACAGGATGGAAATGAAATGTGATCTTATTAGATCGTTTCTCAAGTATATGATATTGTATTATAATTTGCTAAGATTGAAGATACTAACTCCTTTGGTAAATTTATTTAGACATTGTTGTATAAGAAATATTTGATAGTGTAATAACACCCTTATACCTATGTTGAACCTTGTTGTAGACATTGTCCTGTCATAACTAAACGTAAATGCACGTCAGTCGTGCCTCAGACTGAACGTTTCCAAGGCAAATTGTGAAGGGATAAGCATTAAGCAATTGAAATGATAATGCATATGACTGTGGTGTAAAACCAGAATACGCGATTACGTCATTCAACCAATATTGTATTTAATAAATAACTTATTAATACAACAAAAATAAAACTTAAAAGATACCTACCTACGTCTTATTTGAAAATACTGTTTAAAGATTACGTAAAATAACGCACGTATAAATTGATATACTGATCGATTATATTTTGTATTAAAAATTATAAATATTTCATGGATTGAAGGAAGTCCTAAATTGCTAAATTAAGATCACAAATTCAAATTAACTAATATTATTGGTCGATGCATAGTATTCAAACTACAGACGATGTAGACGAAGGAAGTTACTACTAAAAAAAAAACGCTCGAGTCTATTATGGAAGATCTTACAACTACTGTTTGCGATCCAAAGACGTGAATAACACTATGTTTGGAATGGTGCAATAATATTTACATAAGTTATCATATTCAAAGCGGAGGAGATAAAGAAATACTTCGGTGTATCGACCGACCCAAACAAACAAAGATTATACATATTAGACCAACAGCGACTCATGTTCTGTACAAACAAACAATAGTTTTGATACCATACTTACGATCACTGTATTTATTTCATAGGAACGAAATGTTATATTTACAATAAAGTAGTTAATTCCGTTTATAGTTAAGTACATTGCTGACTCATTGTTTAGTTGTTACAATTAATGTATCACAAAAAGTAGCATATTTACTGACGGTACTAATAAGATTTTTTTCCTAAAATATGGTACGTAATTTACTTGTTTTCATACTTTTCGGTATTTTCCTAATGAAGTGATTGATGAAGGTTAGACCTTTCTATGACAACGACTAAAATTTTAAGCCACATACTGTTAATTGGTAATTTTAAGCCAAATACTAACTTGACAACCAAACTGTAAAGTTAGTATTTGACTTGAATTTTTTACAATATAGACGGGTACAACAATGTAAATATTGTTTACTTCTGGGACATTTTTTAAAAGTATGATAAATATTTCGGTTTCATTCTGCATAATGCTAGTCAGAGACAAACGTTGTTGCCCAAATAAGTTTTTATTCTGCTTTCCATAAAAATTATAAAAGGATTATTACGAAAAGAGCATACAAAAGAAATATTCAGATCACTCCATTTGTTCTCAAGTAATGACCCGACGGACGTCGTCCTATCTTAAATTTATTAACTTTTAGCATCTATTATAGAAATTACAGTTGTATTATAGCAATTTGCTTATTGGTTAGTAACAAAGATTACACCTTAACTTCCACCGTGTTTCGGCGTGAAGCACGGTTTTGCGTCATCTCGGTTGGCACAATGACATGGTCATGTCTGCTTATGAGTTAAACACTCATCGTCAGCAGATTTTGTCGGATGGTTCATAACCAGGTTGTCGTTGGTTGTCCTCTGCCTCTTTATCCTTCAGAAATCCATCACTTGTCTTATTATATGGTTTCATTGTAGCTTGATGGCAAAAATTATTTATGGTTTAAGCATGGTTGATTGAAACAGGAAAATCCCACAATACTACTAAGGAGAACTATTTTAGTAAAACGTTGCATTGAAGACGTAAATTAATAGATACATGCATTTTTCATTTCATACAATGCACAAACTTTGTCTTTGATCATCAAAGGTCCACCCTCAAAACGTGCTAAAATTTAGCACACAGTGCAGCATAATAACTTGATGAAATCTGTAGATTGCAATAAAAATTTACTTTCAAACAAATTGGTGGATGTGAACCAGATGGTGGCAATTATGAAGTGGAACTCCACTTCTGAATTGCTACCATCTGGTTCAATCTGCTAAAATTACTTGTGTTATCAATTGGATCCCATACGACAGAAGGATATACCGAGTTGAAACAACGATAGCGAGATGTGCTTTATCATTCTAAGTATTGCAGTATTTATGTTCTGAACAGTCATAAGTAGAAGAAGGAAGGCAAAATCTTTGCCTTCATTTGGATAATGCAAGCTAAATAGTCCTATTTATACGCATGCACTATAAACATGATTACAATGCAAGAAGAGTCATCCAGGATATCATCTGTTATCACTAAAATGAAGTGTTCTTTTATTATTTATCTTTTTCGGGTGTCACTATAAACTATTGAGATATGGTTGGTCGTGACCTCATTCTATTAAAAAAAAAGAAGTTAAATATGTATACATTTCTTGAGAATACAGTGACATAAAAATAATAAAATTACAAATACTTAAACAGAACAAACTAGTTAAGTATAAACTGTAAAAAATATTCGTGTAGTTTATCGACAGGTGTCACAGAAACCCGTTTCAAAGATGTCCCATACTTGTTTATTATTCGAGATAAGTTGTACCGTAAATTAACGTTTTATATTCTTTATTTTTAAAACACTGCATCCTTGACTTCTTAGGACTCTTACACAAAAATAGCATCATTTCACGATGCGACGTCGTATCATAGAAATCTATGATGAGTAACGTGCCACGACTGCACGATATCATATCATAGAAACTCACGGTGCATTACTGTGCCGCCTGTACAAAGTTCGTAAAAAATCTTAAAGAAATAAATTAATCTGGTGCAGGCGTTAAAAAACTCAACTCGAGCTAATAAAACCCGCGCCTCCGTATGGACCGTGTGGTACCGTCGGCGTCGTATCGTGCGTCGTGGCACGTTGCGATATCGTGTCGTGAATTTACGTTATTCATCGTACATTTTCACGATACGACGTCGCATCATGATACGATGCTGCATCGTAACACGACGCGACGTCGTTTCGTGTTTATGTGTAAGAGCCTTTACTATAGCTATTTCGATAGGATGACACCTGTTATTTTGTCTTCTGTTTATTTTAAACCTATTTTTATCTTTTCTACCGTCGTCAAATATATTTCTTTATTCACAAATACTGTAATTCTGTGACGAATTGCGTAAGTCAAATTGTAATAGGTATCATAAAAAATCTAGGTTGGTGAATAAAAAAGTCACCTGCAGAGCAATATTATTATGTATACCACAAGCTGCACTCCAAGTAATATTGCCAAATCTAATTAACTTTTTACGATTCCGGTACTTACAGCTGTGTCACTTCAATTGTATGATTTTTATCCCACACTCCGCCACTAAGTAGATTGTTCAACACCATTGCTTACATATTTAAACTCTATTAAAAATATATCTGATTTGATGGTTCTCGCTACTTAAAAATTTTAGTATTCAACAAGACAGTCTCTTGGCAATACGAAACATGCATATCTAAAATATCATCTGCTGGAAAACAAAATGAAACGCCAACGCTTGTACCTGGACAGATTGCGAAATTATTTAATTGATGTAGTTTCAGAAATACACAAGCTAATACTAGTCTAGTTCAGTGTTTACTGAAACCCAAGAAAAATATAAAAAATATTACTGTCTATATAATATTTATATATATAATAAATAGTAGAAGTAGTGGTAACACGTATATTTTTGGTCACATATTATGTTATGAAAGATTGTATTATCTACTGAAAATAAGATATACATGTTGAAAGTTTTTTTTCTGACAGGTATATGATTATATATTTAGATTTAATGATAGTACATGGAAATATACGAAGCAATAACGAAAATATGACTTTGTTGTTTTATAACCTTGCAGTAACATAATTTCGTAAATACGCAGTGGCCTCTTGAAAAAGACTGATTGTACATGGTATATTTGCAGAAAAGAACATTACGTGTGCAATCATCAAAATATTTTATATATGCTAAACTTCTATAACTGAGTTGCTTTTAAATAGGGAAATGGATGAATTGATTTCTGCCAATTAAACGGTCGGTACCAAATGTTAGTGGGCGCGCAGTGGGGGCGTAGATATTAAATGCAAAAGAAGGAAATACTGCACTTACACATAGTAACACAAAACAGGTTCTGATCGCAATTTTTTGAACATTTATATTTTTCTATAGAATATCTTTGATGTAATTGGAAATAGTGTGAGCATGATTTAAAATGAAAAGAAAATAAAATTTACATTTTTATGTATGACAAATAATAACTGTCTTCCTCTATCGATCATCAAGTATAATTTATGTACCTATTGTATATTTCATTAGCGATTAAATAGAAAAAGTAATACGGTTAAAAAAATTTATTCATGTACGTATTAATTTATTTATCTGAATGTAGTTTTTCTACTGGTTGATAAAAAATCTTTTAATACTAATTAAAAGATTAATCATATATCAAAATGCATATGTACATAAAATATTACACGTGGAATATTTTATGTACATATGCATGAATGCATGCTTATATATGTATTATATGTGTACTCATGCTTATAATTTTTTTTAGTTTTTTTTTTTATTGATAAATATTCAGATAACTTGTAATTAGATATGTTTATCTAATTTAAAATGTCTATCTCCCTTATATAGAACCGAGGTTAGATACAATATTAATGTTCTCTGCAATTCATACCGAGATAGAATGTCAAATTGTCGTATAGATTAGCGTCCATTATAGATGATATGTTATTAATTCTTTCATATTTATAATATTAATTAGAGTAAGAATAAATATGGATGATTAATCAACGAGTCACAAGCGAACACAAATGTTGTCAAGTATTGTTCCAGTATATAACATTTCGCTTATCATGACAAGCCACTTTTTGAATGTTTATTTAGGTATGCTCAGTCTTTATCAATTATTTTTAAAGGTGCGGTTTCTTAAATTGATCTGATTAATTTCCTCAAAAACACTCAAATCTTTGTGATGGTTGATTAGATATTATCTGACAGTTTACATTCTTTTCTATACCCATACTATAAACTGTATATATTATATCTATATAAAGTGAAGATAAAAGAAGTCTGACAATCAGTTATCATTCTATAACGCAACTATGGCGCAATCGTTACTGACGTTTTCAACAATGCTTATATTTGAGCTATTTAATCATTATGTATATTTATATAACTAAATATAAGAGAGATGTACTTAGACATGAGTCTCCAAATCCTTCGGCAAGTTATTGAAAGGAACTTCGATTTGAGTTTTACTGTATAATCAAACCTGAAATGCGAATATCTGTAGAACTAAAGTAAACCGATATAGTTCCGAAGATTGTCAATCTAGTGGCAATCCTCCGCCCTATCCCCTGCAACATGATGCTACTGCCCACGATGGAGTGGTGGATGGGAGTTGATGGTTGCTTAGGAGTTGAGATTATACTTCGTGGTGAAATATGTGTGAGATTTACGTTCTCCCGCGAAACAATAGTAATATCGGAATGTTGTGACGATGAAGTGTGGTTGAAGTCATAATCAACTGTTTAATTACCATTGTTAAACAGGATCTGCGTTCCCATATTAGGTATGATTAAATTGTTTGTGATTGACTGAAAAAACATCGTGATCGGATTTAAGTGAATAAATTGTAATGGTCGATATATTAAAAAATAATATTTGTTATTTATTTATTATAAAATCCGTCATGAGCTCTGTAAAGGGATCTGAGAAATCAATGTTGCTTTAAAGAATTTAAAATTAACCAGTCATCACAGTAGGCAGGTGGCTCCGCCTTTTCCTTTACATCCTCTTGGATGACACCTGGTCGCCGTAACGAAATAAACAATTTCCGGCGAATGAGTTCAAATATGTATATCAGTTGTGAAAAAAGATGAATCGAGAAAGAATATCTTATCTTATTCTCAATATAGATACTCTTATATATTATACATAATTTTATATGCTAAGAAATAAAAAAAATAATAACACAAATACTCCATTTTCCATTATGAGCCGCAAGTATCATATAAAAAATTAAACAGCTCGTGCGATCCGACTTATCGTATCGTAGATCCCGGCATGTACAAATACATACATAACTTGAACGATGACCCCGTTAACATAACGTTACTTCATAAAAAAATCTCGCCTGCTCGTCGAAAGTACTCGTAAGTGCTCAAGTTATCTGTCAAGAACTATAAAGATAAGAATATAAAACCTAACATTTCAACAATTGGCACTCATTATAACCATCTATCGATTTAAGATCATCAAGTACTATCAACAAATAACATCTAATCAATAAAAATACTAAATATGTGGAAACACATCTTCATCACGTGTGGTCTCGGCATAGAATAAGCCACCCCTTCCTTTCCTGTATGTGTCGTAAGAGGCGACTAAGGGAGGGCGAGGGATGATTAACAGCAACCCTCTTAAAACATCTCCAAAGCCTAACTGCGGTAGCCAATCCGCTTGCCAAGCGTGGTAACTACTGGCGAAATCCTCCAAGGGGGACTTATATTCAACAGTGGACAGTTAATGGCTGATATGATGATGATGATGACATCTTGATCCAACCTATTTCATGGTGGCCATTCTTTGTTGATTATTAAGCGTGACTATACGATTGTGAATAATTGTATTTGCCAAATGGGTCGTGATTGTGAATCTTGCTACAGCGGAACATTTGCCTTGACTTATACTGATTGATTATTGTAATTTTCTACGCCACACTGATGTTACAGTTAACAGTTCTAAATGTATGGTTTTCAACTGACCCAGTTGCGTTTTTTGTATAGTTGTCGGAAAGATTTGAGAGCATCGTTCCCTAATGGGTCAATAAACAGTTACATTCACAGGATTGAGAATATTGAGTCGGAATTTACTCACACCAATGTAATCTTAAAGTACAAAATTATTAATTAATTATCCAGTGATGGGCAACATTGTTAAAAAATAGGTACATAATTTCCAAGAGGGTGATTATGGATTTAAACATATTCGATATTGTCCAAATGGATAACAGTTAATGAATAGCTAAAATAATGAAGACGATTGAGCAAGTCGGTTGTTACTTTTATCATAACGGTAACAGTCAACAAAATGTAATTTGATATGTGGTCATTTAATCGTGAGCATATAACTTACATATTTCACTGAATATTAGATATATATGAACATTTCAGCAATTCAAATTTAAATAATGTTTTTCTCTCTCGTGGGTGTTTTAAGAGGCGACTGAAATAACTTAATGGTCAAAGGCTGTTGCCCATGCAACAGCGTCCCTCCTAAAATATCACCGAAGCCTAACTGCGGTTGCTTACCCGTTCTCTAATGCTGAAATGGTAAATAAAAGGGCAGTCTATGATGTTCAGCAGTGGACAGTTAACGTCTGAGATGATGATGATGATGATGATGATAAAGAATAAAAATTTAATTATAGCTTTTATAATTAGGTACTGCTGTCAATATTTCGTTATTTAATATAAGATTTAATATCAGAGACGATGACTTAGATTGTTAATTTCTGAACTAATTGAACGAAGCAACTAAGAACGACAATATAATTGTGCTTTGACAAATTATGGATTAGATTACTCTCGGATGATTGGAACAAGGAATAAAAAGGTCCTTTGAATAAGCGCTCGATACATTTTTGAGCTCGACTGTATTTGATTTTTCTGTTAATCATGTTATACTCATATAAATACTTTGCGTGTCTTGTTTAATTTTGTGTAAATATTTAAAAAAACTGAGAAAATAAATTCTTAGTCGTTAAATTCGTAGTTATTAAAGTCATAGAAAACCGTGCACTCAATAAAACATAACTGTATTACATAGTTAACTATAAAGTTTATGCAACAGTACATAAAACCCATTGGTAATCACTGGCACGTGGAAGCCAGCTCGTGCCTACGAGATCGCGATAAGGGACTAATCGCGAAACGTGATCGATTGTTCACAGCCAGCCAAACTACTTCGATTTAAAATACTTAGAGATTTGTATAATGTTTAGAATAATTATTACATTGGTGTCAATAGCTATAGTTATAATGTTGCTAGCAAATATATTTTAGAAATATCAGACAGTTTCAATAATTACTTGATCCTTAAATTGGAATTTTTATTCATATAACATACATACGATATCCGCCAATAGATAATATCAAATTCTCCATTAAGGATAGACAATTCTTATTTAGTGACGTGAATTTAATGTCAATACTTAAAAGTGAATTACATGTAACAATAAATCTCCGCATTAGGTTCTTCAAGCCTAATATGCAACTGCGTGGAACGCTAACACGTTTTAATTCCAGATTTGTTTGCTCAAAATGTTTTCGCAGAGGCGGTAATCGTGAATGGCGACCTTGCACTGTCTGACATTGGGGCACTGATTTCGAATTGCTTTTGTAGAGACAACAACTGCATATTCTGTGCAGCCTTTGCCTCTGTGCTGCGTTTACTAATCCAGAAATAATATTCATAAACAACATGATAATAATAGGATATTATTGATACCTATGATGTTATTATTGTAACGACTAAAAATATGACTGACTTTATTAATATAATAGATATATAAATAGATCATGTCGTTCCATGGAATATATTTAAGAAAAAATCAATACAATAATTTTTAGAAATTTTGTCTTTTTTATGTATTTGTTACGGTATCACGCAAAAACCACTGCACTAAATTGGATGTAGTTGTCGCAGTTATGTTCCTGAAGGTCGGACTTAAAACGTGGTGTGTTTTATCTTGATGTGCCATCGAGTAAAGGTCTACTTCATTGGTTTTTCTACTTATAAAATCACGTGTACGAAGTAGACGTCGTAAAGCTAATTTGTAACAGAAAGTACCTACGCGTTATTATAACTATATACTAATTCTCAATTGTGATAATTACTGTAACTTAATATTAAATTAGCAACGAACAAAATAAGTACATGTTTATACAGCCTACCTTATTCGTAATACGGGCTGAGATGCCGAATTGAATTTGCTCAGAGCGCGTAACGCGGTTGGTGTTGTTTCGACGGCGCTTTCTATCTGTTATCTCGAGATCACCATCGGACCGCGCCTTTTTCGTCTCGGTAGCCGATATGGTCTCGATAAGGTACTCGTTGATTCAATGTTGCAAATCAAATAATCGGATTAAATATTTTGTTTTATTATTTCTTTACATTCAGATCTTTTTCTGGGTCAACAATCTTTATTATTATTTTTTACGTTATCCAACATTATCGCATGAATAAGTCACGTAGAGGTAGAGAGTTCTCCACAATTGTCAAATTTGAAAGTGTTTTGGTAAAGTTTTTTCCTATAAGTTTCCTACTGGGTTTCTAAGAATGTACTAAATCACGTTATACTACTGTCATTTTCTAGACTAATTCTGTCGATAACCGCATGCGAAGTGCTGCGGTCGTTTGTCCATCTACGGTGCATTCGTCTCGAACGGACATCGACCTAGCATTTTATAAAACGTATAAAATAGCACAATTCAACCGTTCGTTTTCAAAAGCAGTTAGTAGCACTTAGTTGAGCGATATATACATATTTATATATGTAGGTATACTGCTAAAGTATTGCTATTTATAAACATAATTCAAGTTTAGAATTGCAGAATTAATTTTAAGTTATTGAACACTCATTTTTATGTACCCTCTATGCTAGTTGGCCCTATTTCTGTCAGATGCGCGTTCCCGGCTCTTGCACTCTTTCGTTACGAAACTCTAAGATCTTAAGCTATTACCAATCATGCTCTTTGCAGGCACACAAATT